TCTCTCTCTCTCTCTCTCTCTCTCTCTCTCTCTCTCTCTCTCTCTCTTCTTCCCTTTCCCTCCTTCCTAGTAGCAACACAATGTTGATAATACATATTAGTTAGAGTTAGATATTGGATATTGGATATTGACGTGTATTATTGGAGATATAGTGGGACTATATCGCGCAATACAAAGTCAGGCTATAAATTAGCTATCCTAAATTAAATGTAAATATATTGGACATCATAATAATATCAATATTGGATAAAGACAGAGATTCTAATTTTCGCCAGCATTATTCGCTCTTTCTTTCTCTCCCACGAGGATCGTCATAACGGAAGAGATGCCTGCATAATAATCGCGCGAGAAACAACGATTCCTTGTCGACATGATGACCCAGTGGTTTTTTTATTAAACACATTTCTATGAGTCTGTCATTTCACGAATTATTATATAGTGTAAATATTTGAAGTATCTTGCATTAGGATTCATAAAACTTTACCGAGATTGTAAATCGGGACTCGGCATTCGAATTCGAGTGGAACTCGTTCCTGTCCTAGACCGTCGCGCGGGCAATAATAGAATCTAATTTCCTGCTCAAGGTATTGTTTCGTACACGCGTATACGCGTATACGCCCGGTTTCGCGGTAAGCGCCTACGGCTCATAAGCCGTTATTTATAACCGCTTAACGCGTAAGATCAATTGCGGCATTGCGGCGTCTAAAGGCATTCGGCCGTCTAAATTAAAGCGCGGTCATCGCTTAGGTATGTGCGAAAATTCGCTCGCGGCTTTCCAGTCGCGAGCGAAAGAGAGGCTCACGTGGCGTGCGGGCGGCGATCAGGCGCCGCCGGTCGCTCGGGAAAATTTGCATCTCGCCGTAACGGCGAAACGATATTTTGCAATCCGCCGTTTATCGATATTATCTACGTTCTAACGCGAAGTTATTGAAAAATCTCGCTGTTACGATACGCGTGCGAGGGACAAGACACGCCTAAACGATGTTAACGTTTCTGTTACACTGTCGGCGGCGGTAGTGCCCCTCGCAAACCTTGCATTCTTTAAGCGATTGTGTATGAGCGGCCTTTAAGCGATGACCCGCGAGTGACACGAGATAGCTGATCTTCACCGTGACTTATAAATCTGTCAACCTTAATTCACACCCCGTTGGAAAATGGAGCGTGCGCTGCGTAACACACTTGCATAAATTAGAGCGCGAGCCGCGTTTAAATGATAATGCCGATTTTATCAAAGCGGCGCGCGATTAATTTATTGTATTTCGATGCGGTGAGCGTTGCTGTTAATTAATTTTTATCGTTGCTATTTAATTCGACACGTAGCTATTTAGTATTTAATTCGTTACGCATTCAGTGCGCATTTATATACATTTCGTTATTTCTTCGCTATATAATCGGCCGATTAATACGTTCGGTTTATGCGGTCAACGCGTGCTCTATCAACGTAATTAGAGTCGCAATTCTTGCCTCGCGGATTTCGGCACGGGATTTTGTTGAGCCGCAAGAACAGGATTTCCTACCGATTTATCCCCTTTGGCGCCCCTGGCCCGATTATGTCTTTCCGCCGTTCTAATTTGGCGGATCGCTTTGCGGTTTTCCGTTTCGTAAAAATTCCGGCCGATTATTCCTCGATTCACGATAAACGAGGAGAAGGTATGTATTATATGTAATTATATGATTCAGAAAGGAAACAATAGAAGACGCGGCAAATTGCGTAAATTGATCGAATTTCACTGTAAGTCCACAAGCAAGAGCTGTTTAAAGGTCCGTTATCATTTAATCGATAATCGAGTGCGGTATCCTGGCAACGAAACAGACGCGTTTATCAATTTCGGCGGCTATCGCACACACCGTTGACACCGTGCCATGCTGCACATTCGACATGCGAGAGCCCATCTCCTCCACAGGTACTTAAACGTCGGAAGTGAAGTGTTTTGTAAACGATGGGTAATACCGAGAGCAATGTTACGAGCGGCGTGAAGAAACAAACGGACACGTCGTCCATCCTGCTCTATAAATTAGTCGACTTGAAGGGTGAGCGAAATAATCAAGCGTATATACAATTTTACAGACCACAATTTATTCAATTCTCACAATTAACGAAGGCGGGATCGATTATCGTAAAACAATTAGATACAATTGACGGAAATCGATTCGCTTCGCCGACATATATATGTGAGTCGATGTTGTGTCACATATATGCATATGTACTTCGTTTTATATACTCGGAATATACGAGAGTGAAAAAAAAAATGAAAGCGCCAACGTCGTCGAGTTCTATCGCGCAATGTCAGCGTGTGTAATGTACGTATTGGCCGCGCTAAACGAAAGCTGGCTTTTGGACGCGGCTTTCGATGTTTGTAACGACGAAAGATATGACATATGCCGGGCAAAACGAAGGCACATAAATAGAGTCACGTCTGGCGGAGCAAATTCAGCAAACCTGCCAAACGCGGTTCTCGCCGTGTCCCGCGGAAAAACTCGCCGTTAAAGCCGATGGCTTTTCTCGTTCGCTAGTATTTACCACAAAAATAACGAGAAGAGAGATCACCGTCGTTGTCAACAACCGCGCCGAAAAAAATACGGGCGGTATAATATGTACTTAAATAATGAGGGACGCGAGACGGACGACTCGCTGAAAATTTCGGGACATAACGATCGCCCGTTTGCGGAGGAAAGATCAGCGATTAGACCGCTTGAGGAATATTATTTATTATCACTTTCTCCTCGTGCGACGTCGAGGGCTCGTCCAGGTTCTCCATAATCTCCTGATGGTTCGGGACGAAGGAGGGCTGCTGCACGTTATACTTTCCCATCTCGGCCTCGAACAGGATGTTGTTTATCTGATGCTGCGCGACAAGCCTCGCACGCACGTCCGTTATGTTCTTCAGCCGAATGGCGACGTGCTCGGCAAAAACTGTGAATTCGTCACGGCCTGACGAAATCTCCTGAAATCGTGCGAGAGAAAAAGTCGTGTGACGTCGCTCGACTGAGGAGTTTTATTAAGCGTGCAGGTCGTGCAGATCGAAAGTTTTCAACATGACGCGGGTATAATATGTCATATCGGGCGGAGGAAGGGGGAACGAGAGCTCCCCATGTCGCATTACGTAATAATGCGCTAACGCTGCATCGCACATTTTTACAATATGATATATTATTAATTCAAGCTGTAATGCAAGAAAGATTGAAATGTACCTGCGGCTGCCAATTAGGGGCCGGCGTGGGATTCTAAAAAAAAAGACATCATCGAATTAATTAAAACGCATATATGCATGATTCTATTTCGCGACGCGTAGTATTAATATTACTTTAAAAGATTGACTGACAATCAATGAATAAGAAGATACATGGATTGGAAATAGAATTGCAATGATCACGATTTAATTATAATTTTTCTTTCTCAATAATATATAAGCCTATATATTATGTACTAGCTTGCCAGACAACACAATGTGACAAGTGACAATGTCCAAAGTCGGGACATAAAACGTCTTTAAGACGTCTTTAAAACATTAGACATTGTGTTTATTCATAATTATACCATTGTAATTATACTATAAACCACGCTAACTGTACGCAAGCGGGTCGCAGGCGATAATCGCGAGAGCTCATTAGCGCACCTGCTTCTCCACGTTCGGCGTCTCGCGATTGATTCGCGTCAAGCGTCCTTTATTCAGGAAAGTCAAGGCCTCGTAAGCGAACCACTTAGGCGTGACGATGCTGCCATCAGGATTCAGATCGGCCTTCACCCTGCGTTTCGCGTACGCTTTGTGGACCGACATGAAGTGAGTCTTCAGGCTCTTCAGCTTCCTCTCCACCGTCATCACGTCGCATCCGAGCTGAGTGCAAGTTCCAATGAGATAAGAACGCGTCTTGCATTTCTTCTTCTTTTTTTTTATTATTTTTTTTTGCGCTCGCATCGCGTCGCGAGAACGCGCTGGCGATGGTGATTCGAAGACGCGCGTTGCATCAGGCCTGCGTCAACTTCGAGCTTCGCAGCCACGACTCTTCTCCCTTTCCATCCACGGAGAGTGGGGGACAGCGGTTCCTCCGCCACGCTGGATGAAGTTGATCATGCCCGCTAAACTTCATACAGCGGAGGGACCCCTTTCCCCTTCCCCTCACTCTCTGTGGATGGAAAGCGGGAAGCGTCGTGGCTTCGCGGCTCGAAGTTGACCAGGCCTTGCGTTACATAATCCGGCAATAAATAAGTGAAGCGCGGATTCTTCTTGCGCGAACCGTTACGAACGCGAGACTTCACGCTTTCCATATTATAACGGCGGCGGCGATAAAGACTACCGTGCGCTCGCGACTCGCGATGCGCCAGCATTGCGCAACGGCTTGCGCAAGTGTTGGACGCGCGCGTCTAGAATACACTCCCAAGATATTTTTTCACTCGGTGGCCAGCGGTGGCCAGCGGTGCTTCTGGCGTACACGTGCATTCGCGAATTACGTGACACGATAAACGTATAGAGGGAGGCCAAGAAACGCTCTTTTCGTTAATTAAAAAATTATCGATCCGCTATTGGTCATAACGCGACTCCACGGAAACGCTGTTCGTGTCCCTTTCCTTCTTTTTTTTTTCGTTCATCTATAATACAGCCAGATATGTGTATTTTTTAAATCAAATAACATATATATATATATATTTTTTTAAATCAAATATAACTTTCTGCGTGAACGAAATAAAGGTTTCTAAATTTCCACGACATCCGGATCGATTTTTGCGACGCCGAAAGTTAAACGAATATCGGTGCTGACTCAAAAAAAAAGTCTGAACGCGTATACATAGGTAGCGCATTTTTTTGCGAGCGCGGTGTTTACTTATGATCTCGGTCTGCGCCGCGCGTATGACTTCGTCGCACCTCGTCGGCGATCTCCTTCCACGCGTAGATCCTCTTGCTCCGATCGGTGTAGTCCGGCGCGTTGTGGTCCCAGAGGAGCCGCCTCGCGCGATACGCACTGATCAGCTTCAATATCGTCTCCTGCCTCCACTGCGCCATGTTACCGCCGTATTGGCACCGCACTGTGCCACGTCTAATCACCGACAGTATGCCGCGGCGGCGACGGGCAATCCCGGCCGCTCGCTCTTCCCACAGAAGACTTGCGCCAGCAATTGCCGTGACGGTGTATGCAACACTTGCCCCAGACCGTACAAGATGGCGTTGCATGTGCTCCGACGTGCCGACGACCCGTCCGCCCCCTCTTCCGCCCGTCGCCCCCCGCCTTGAATTTCGCCCGTAAAACCATGGAGTCGGCGAGAGTCTTCGGGAAAGTGGGGAGAGAGGAGGAATTCTCCGTGCTCCATATATTTCCTCGCCTGTAATTTCGCCATCGCGCCAGAAGACACCTTTCAGGATAGAAAATCTTTTTTCGAGGGAAAAGGATTGTTTTGTTTGAAACAAAATTATAAACTATAAATTGTAAATAATAATAAGTGAAACAGGATACGACGTGATATACAATCAATTAGAGAAATTGCCATTTAAGGTCCGGGCTGGATCTTTGGTAGCCTAATAATTAATATTTTGCAATTTGCTGAGTTTGAAAAAAGTATAATTCACAGAATATTATAATATAATTATAATATTATTAGATTACCAAGATCCAGCTCGGATCTTAAATGGCATCCCTCTATATTGATTATTTATAAATTGTAAATTATAAAACCTTTTGAAGAAAGGCATAGAATATTTTTATTTTGATTAATTTTTTAAAAATATACAACAGCTTTTTTGAAAGATTTATTTTTTACTTGGCGCCATTTTCTGATATCATACTTTTTGTAGACAGAAAGGTGCGTGTACTTGGCGCCTTTTTGTATCATTTTTTAAAAGATAAATTTTTAGATATCATATCTTTATTAAGTATGTTAGATACGATTGTGCGTGATGTATGTAATACGTGCATTAACTCGTAAAGTTATTACAAGTGGCATTTTACTTTGACGCCTTTTATTAATTATATTTATAAGTTGTAAAATATAACATTTTTTAAAGCTAATAAAACCATGCTTATTAAAAATACATTATTATTTATATAGAAAATGTTTAATATCCTGCATGTGAGTGTAACAACATACAATTTTTAAATCTTACTTTATTACAGTGTAACACATTTTACCTTATATCATTAAGTTAATTTATATTCATAGTATGTAAACACACGTCTCCTCAAGATACGAGCACCTATATATTTGGTTCATTTTAATAATAATGCCCTATTTACCGAAAAGCAAATCTTTCGCGCAACTTGTTGAATTTTACTAATGTACTAATGAGCAATCTATTGACCTAGTTTCGATAAGAAACAGTACGTGATGCTCGGCTAGTTTCAACATGCGATCGCTTGTACTTCCAGATTTCCGCAGAATGTTTCTAAGATTTTTAAGATCAGGCATAAATTTTTTTATTATGCGTGCCAAGTTCGCTGCGCGTCGTTTAAATTTCGAGTGACTCATGTCAATGCCTTTGTTTCGCAGGTTGTCTCCACAACTGCGCAAAGCGATTTCTAGAAATAAGTGAGAAAATTAAATTGTCAAAGTATATAGTGTATTAAATAAATAGAAAACTCAGTAATACAAACCTTTTTATGAGTATTGCTTAATTCATTCTTTCTCCTTCACCGAAAGATATTTCGCTTTTCGAAAGAATATTGCTCGACGAATGTCTACTCCATGTAATTTTTACTTTCTTTTCTTGAAGGTAAAAGTTGGACTTTTCACTATTTTTAGTTATACGTACATAATAATATCTCTTTGTTTAAACTGAGAATTATATATAGCGAGGAAGAAAAGGAGACATCATATGGCTGCCTCCTATTGCTTGAAGCTAGACGAAGCTCTTAGCGTATATATACGTACCTGCTTTCTCTTTTGTATTGGAATATATTACTGCCTCGCGCACATAGATATGATAGAGACGTTGTCATAGAAATGCAGATATTCCTAATTTTCTTAAATGCAACGTGCTAGCGAGAAATTACACCATATCCAATGACAAAAACCAACAGTACATACAAGCGACGATCGAGGACAATGATGTTTCTTAAACGTGAATTCGCCAATTCGGACTTTGCAGTATCTCCGCTCCGCGCTCGTAGGATACGTAGACGAAAAATAAAAACACTTATTCGTATAATTCGAACCCAAGCTATCGATCGAGCCTACTCGGAACTTGACCGATTCAGCCGTTATTGAGACCCAATAAGGATCTAAGGATCTCTCGACTAGTCGACTTGCGTGTAGATACACGGTCTGCCTTGCGCGTACACTTATATTAGCGCGAGACACTACCGTGTCCTCTTGATAAAAAATATAACGACTGTGTGACGATATCGCGTGCCTCATATCGCTTATAATATATATGAGAGAGATGTTGAAAGGTATAATTAAAATAAATACATATATGTTAATTTTTCCTATTTCGGTTTTTTCGCGTACAGTTTGATAGCGCTTATTAGTCACGTGGTGCCGAACGTCCTTGAAGTGCTCTTCCACGATCATTACTTCCGAAACGGCTTCACGTGTAAGATCCTCGTTAGAGACTTCCAGATTAAGTGCAATAGAATAATTATAATCAACTGATTATGATATAACTAACTTGTTGCTTAAATACCCATAATTATATTTTATTAGTGTCTCGATTTTCTCTTACATCTCGCGCTATTATAATTCAACCGAAGCACCTGACACTGTCGCGCGCGGGCGCCGTTGTTATAGTTATAAATTTTGGAGAGAGGACTTGGGAAACTAAAAAAATAACACAAATAAATAGATACATAAATAAATACATAAATGAAAAATAAAAATAAATATAGCTTAAAGTTTAATTTGTTGGAGTTTTCCGGTTACACATGTATGTACACATTATTATATATTTGTATATATATTAGAAGGACGTATATCCTCTCCCCCGCGGCTCTCCCGCTAATGGCGTTCGTGCGAGAAACGATTACAATTAGCTCCCATTGCCGCGAACGCGACTCTTCAAGTTTACCCTTATCTTATTGTTATTTTCTAAAGTATGGCTTACATATCGCACGACTAAATTACATCCTCATTTTTAACATTCCTTACGATAGGTATTTTTATCGGATCTGTTTTAAAAGGAAATCATGCATGGAAAGGATTTCACGCATGGTCCAAAGTACGATTTTAATTCTGTTGGAATCAGCTCGATGTGCGGTCATCATCGGGTCATTGATTCGCATAAATCCTGAGTTTTCAAATTGCGGAGTAATATAAAGCTGAGCGGTGCGAAATAACGTCAGACTAACAGCTATAGATCAACGCGATAAATTTAGAAACGAACGAGCCGCGATTTCTCATCGTCCACTTGTCGAACACAACTTTATTAAAAATCTACGTCAATGAAGGATCCACGGCCGATTTAGCGCGATGATAATCAGTTACACGCTCCGAGGGAAGAAAAAAAAAGAATGACGGTTTCGGTGCGTTATATTACTCCCCCTTGTATAACATTTGCACATCCTGACACCTGACACTACGAGCCGACAGGTTGCATCTGTCGGCAGCGCGTGTTGTTTTTAGCCAACGCGGAGGAAAAACGCCAAGGGCTTTTCGATCGTGAAAATAGGGATGCCGTCATGGGGCGCGCGATGTGTGCCGGCGCGGAATTGACGCGCCAATCGAGATGACCGCGAGGGCCGCGAAAGCTCTCCGCTCTCTTCCGCCTCGGCTTTAGTATTTACTGTCCGTGAGTCAGCGTACCGATTTCGACGGTGACGACCGGAGTGCTAATGCCCGCGATATAATGGGCTCTCGAGCACTCGATCCAAATACTTGCACTCGTGACGACCGTGACGCAACGCGCGCGTCCACGTGCCGCCCGCGATTTAATCTTACGATGACGTTCGCGCGACCGCGAATCGCGCTCGCGGACCTTCTTGAGCGCCTCGCTGCTGGCACGGCTTCCGGAATTCGCGCCGACTTTCGCCAATTCTCTTCGCGGCGTCCCTCGATATCTGAATCACGCCACGAGATCGCCCTGTTAAATATTAAAAGATGCAATCAATACAATACCTTAAGTTAACCCTTTGTAGTCACACATGGGTCAATTTGATCCACCTTCATTTGGATCTAAATATCAACTAAAAGCCTAGCTTGAAATGGGGCTTGGTCCGCCATCTAATACAAGAGTTTGAAATATCCTCTATAAGTATAGAGACCGTTAATCATGTACTCGTTCACGATTTTTTTTCAACATGTTGCCATTTGATTTCTCACAAAACCGCAGTTGTTTTATATTCTAGAATGTTCAAGGTATGTCCCAGAATTATTTGAACCCGATCGGACCGATACCATTAAAATGGCAACCATTAAAAATCGACTGGGTCAATGCGACCCAGTGTGACTACCGCGGGATTCTAGAGAAGTGTGACTACAAAGGGTTAAATAACGTTTTATTATTTTTAACTGCCATGTATGTTGAAATATTATATATATTATTTTAACACAAAACTGTATTATTTTAACTTCATTGGTTTAGTTAAATTAACGACATATTGAGTAGGGACAGTGGCGATCTATAATTAGAAATGTTAAAATGACTAAAATATTGAGTATAATAATTTGACACTTCGAATTTAACAGTGCAAGTTGGAATTTCTTTCTTTTTTGTTTCACTTTTCGAAAAGTGACCTTATTTTACTCCTCCGTCGTTTGACTTTTTCTCGTCGATTGTTCAGCGCATCAATTAAATACTTAGCTAACTACACCGTTGCAGGCGGCGGATTGTTAGTGGACATGATGAAAAGAGCCACGCAGACCAAGCAGTACGCGGAGCTGGATCACGCGTTGAGAACGAAGGTCGAGCCGTTTCTGTACAACAAGGGAAAAGGCAAATGGATACCCGTGGAAAAATTGGTCCTTCTACGAAATAAAGACCGTCCGCGGCACAAAATGGTATCGCGATCAGCCTCAGGCATCACTCTTGATCGCTTTATATATCCATTGCTTTGAATAGTTTGAATAATTATTCTCTCGCGCTGCGCAGCTGGCACCCTTGAAAGCTATGGAAAATCCAGCGGATTACGACATCGATAAGGATATGGGCGACGAGGAAGTTGACGAAGCTAAGATAGGTAATATCGTATACGTAATTTAATTTCAATTTACATCGCGATGTAAATTATTGTCGCGTTACGCAGAAATATTTCTATATGCGCGGTCGTTTAAGTTTACGACCTACTGAGCTACACGCTGTTATAATAATTTATTCGATAAAAAAATACATTCTTGGCAGATAAGAGCAGATACAGATTCGTGTGTTGGAATCTAAGCGACAGAGGTGCCGTCGGCGAAACTATTTTACATTTATGCATGTTAAATGCGACCGCTATCCACGCCGATTTGGCGAAACGACTGTTGCGTTTCTATCCGCGGCTTATACACGATATTTATCTGAGCGATGAATATTACGGTAAGTTTGAGTTCTCCCGCGATCGTTATGAAATGACGATCATCGATTCTGAAATGGATTAAATGCTTAAAGCTATCATTGTATCTCGTTCACGAGGCAGCGTGTAGATTGTTCGTGGAATATCCATTGCCGATAAATTCCTCGATAAGCCCGCTGCTAAATTATCTATTCATAGCGTATCGTTTGCGTAATGGAAAATTAGCATTTCCAAGATAAACCATTTAGTCTCAGCGGGGACCCTTGCGGATTTTCATTATTATTTAATCGAGAAGTTTTTTTGAATTCAGATCGCGTGAATGCATCGCGTAACGAAACGTATATTGTCGCAAAAAAATATTATTTATACATATATATTATTTACACTGCTGTCAAATATTATAATGAACTATCGTCTTCCATCAAATCCACCTCCTCTCTATCTTCTTTTCCCGCCGCAGCTTTTTGTTCCATCTCTTCGTCTGCTTTCTCTCAAAATTAACATTTATTGCCACTTATTCTCTTCGGCCTTTTCTTGAGCATACTCTTTTAAACAATGCATTGAAAAACAATTTATTTTTTGCAAGAACATAGATTTCTTTGAATTTAGTTTCCTTAATTTAAAGAAGTATTGGATAGATTTAAGAAAACATTTTTCTGAGTTTAAAATATTTTCTCAAATCTATCCACTTCTTTGAATTAAGGAAACTAAATTTTTAAAAAATTTATTTTCTTGCGAATAATAAACTTTCTTTCTGAGTGTGTATATTACAAGTACACTGTTTGTGTGTATACGCGTGTTACGTATATGTATGTGCACGTGTGCGCATGTTTTATGTATGATATTGATATTGTGAATTTATTATGCACGCTTCCTTTTCCTTTAATGTTACTGTTATTATTGGTAGATTTTATAACAGCAGTATTGTTAATGCCTCATCATTTGCGTGTACTTTGTCTCTTGTATCTAGTAGTTATCTAGTGTTTGCTCGCTTTAATTGTAATATTATTATTATTATTATGTAGGGTATAATATAATATAATTAATGTAACCTACTAGGAGAGAAAATCTATACATCTCTCCGGCAGTTACTGCTTTCAGCTCTATAACGATTTGCTTTGGATTTAGGAGAAAACGTTTTGCACATCGCTATCGTGAATGAGGATCCATCGCTGGTCAAGTTTCTTCTCGACAGTGGAGCGGACGACCCGAGCATCATCCACGAGAGATGCTTCGGCAATTTCATGAGTCCGGAAGACCAGAAGGCGTCGAGGTTTGACAGTATGGACCACGAGTGGGTGTGCGTCACTCCGGAGACCAATTACAGCGGGTGCGCTGTACTTATTATCTTCGGGAACGACATTAGATTTTATATCTGAAACGGCATTAGATTCTGCCTGGCTCGCTTAAAGACGAGGCAGAAAATACTCCATTGTTGTACATTATAATTAAACCGTCAGCTTTGGACGACATTCGTTTCGAGCGTAAACGAGACCTAATGTCACGACGAGTTAAATTCCGCGGGGCTCACATAAACAGGCTCGTCCATCAGAGATTTTAATGAATCTTGTCAAACGCGATTATGTCGAGAACACAATGTAGTCTTATACGTCTAATTTATAGTGAAATTGGATCGATCTATTTATAGAAATTAGACGATCTATTTGAGCTATTATCTATTTTATTATATCCGTAGCTACGTGTACTGGGGAGAGTATCCGTTGAGCTTCGCCGCGTGTCTCGGTCAGGAAGAATGTTACAGGCTTATATTAGCCAGAGGCGCGGATCCTGATAAGCAGGACACGAATGGAAACACCGTCCTGCACATGCTCGTGATATACGAGAAACTGGTATTATACTTTTGATTCTTGCACTTATTTCCCGAAAATATTGTTTCAATAATTGACTTAAGAATTGACTTTGTAATACCAATCTAAAAATAATAATAATAATAAAATAAACTACTTGTTTACTGAAAAAAAAAAAAATAAATAAAAGTGTGCTACAAATAATTTCGAGAATGTAGCGTTCGTCATTCTTCTCATCTTCGACTTAATCTCAGGCCACGTTCGACATGGCCTACGAGGTAGGGGCTTCTCTCGATCTAAGAAACGTCCAGCATCTGACTCCGTTGACCCTATCAGCAAAGTTGGCCAGAATCGAAATGTTCTTTCACATTTTGAACATCGAAAGGGAGATATACTGGCAAATCGGTAGCATAACTTGCGCGGCTTACCCTCTGTCGCAAATAGATACGATCGACATTAATACGGGGACAATCAACAACAATTCTGCCCTGAATCTGGTTGTCTTTGGCGTAAGTGAATCAATTCCGCTAATTATATTTTATCGCGTTAGAGTCACGCACGCAGAATGATCACGCACGATTCACGATGATTGTAGGACAAAGATGAACATTTAGAGTTAATGGACGGTGTGCTAGTCGATCTTCTAAACGCCAAGTGGAACACCTTCGTCAAATCCCGGTAGGTATCTATAAAAAAGAAAATAATCTTTTATCTATATTTTACTTTTTTATTTTAAAAAAATATGCTAATTTCTGGATTTAAATATAAAAAAGTAATTATAAGCGATTATATACGCTTAAAAGAGATATAAGTGAGACTTTTTTAATTTTCAGATTCTACCGTCAATTCTTCCTCTTCTGCTTCCACTTCATCCTGTCGCTGATCAGCTTCACCCTTCGCCCTGGCCCGTCGACCATGGAAACGGACGAAAGCGCGAACGACACGTTGACGAGGACGAATTCCTCCAACATGACGGAGCCCACGATTCTTAAACCCCTCCAAAGCGCGGATCTATCGGAATTGGTTACAAATAGCTTCGTGGCGGCTTTCACCTCAAATCTCAAGTCATCCTTAAACATGACGCAGGAATCGCTGGAGAAGATCCAGCTGCAAGTAACGTCGAACGTCACGTCGGCCCTGAAGAGCGTTTTGCTCTTGACGCTGAGCGAAAACGAGGGCATTCTGAGTCCTCCTGACGAGGCCGCCATTCATACGCTGTGGTATACCGACAGCCCTCCAAATGCGTCGGACTATTTCACGGATACGTACAACAAAACCGTCGCGGCCGATACGAATTCGACTGCCAAGGCGATCGTCGACGACATCGCGTTATCAAAATTTGATCACGAAGATTGGTATGTTAAAATACATATAATATTGCACTGCAAAATCCAAGTGTGTTATTTTTACACGTATAAACGTCTAAAAATGACACATTAGACTGAAGATCTTTTTACACATGTTTCTTCACGTGTTAAAAATTACGTCATTCAACACGTTCAATCGTATTATCATGTCATTTAGACGCATGCGTGATTGTTACCTTACGGTAAATGAAACGTTAGTTAAAGGTCTTCTATTTTCTAACGTAAGAAAAACAAACATTGACGATCGTCAATAAACAACAATTACAGTTTAGCTGAAATGTTATCTAGTAAACTCGATATATTGGTGGCGATCATGGCGCAGAAAGATATGCGCTGGTCTAATGAGCTGAAGATCCGAGTTCAAATCCGACCAAAAATCCGTCGGTTTTTATTTGATCGCCACCTCTCGGAAGGGTTAATGGCAACCCGCCGAAAGTGTATCTCTAAGAAAGCAGAAGGGAGGCCTTGGATTTTATACAGGCCGAACTTCAGGAGGCCATGGCTTGATCTTGAGCTATAGTGCCGTTGAAAAAAAAGAGAAATTCGATAAATTTCTCATTTCGTGATTAAATGATGATTAAAAAGTTGATTTCCTCTTCTGAGAAACAAGGTGATTGACACAACCAAACTGATAAGAAAACGGTGATATCTTCAATGATGATTAAAAAGTAGGTTTCCTCTGAAAAACAAGGTGATTGACACAACCAAACTGATAAGAAGAGTCATGTACCATTTCGCAAAATTCGCAATAGTTGAGTAATTAACTAATACGTCTGAGCGAATGAGCGCACACTGCAAATCCAAGTGTGTTATTTTTGCACGCATAAACGTCTAAAAATGACATTTGACTGGAGCTCTTTTTACATGTTTCTTTTTACATGTTAAATGACGTGATTTAAAACGGCAAGAAATGTGCAAAAGATTTAAACGCTACTAATAAAATAATAAAAATATTAATTATATATATATATATATATATATTATATATATAATTTATTCAGTTTTAGCATAAAATTTAATTTAAAAAATAGATATTTGAATATATACATATAGTAGGTATATATAAAGTATTTTTTTTTTTTAGATTTAGGTTTATTTCAGTAATAATTGACTAATTAGATCAATTTTACATATATTTTGCAGTTAATTTTTCATTTAATGACATACACTTTTAAATATTTTTTTGTATTTGGCGTAAATTTCTTACTTTACTTTTTTCTGAAATATTTCCGGTATCATGGAATAAAAACTTATTTGACACACACAGGTGGGACGATCTCACAGAGGAGTGCAGGCTGATGCAGCTAACAGAAACGAGTGCGAAGATTCGTTTAACTGGGGAAATTTTTATGTACATCTCAGCGATGCTCTACATCTTGGCTGCGTTGCGAGAGGCGAGATTTTTAGGTCTTAACATGTTCATCGAAAATCTCGTAAGAATCAATTAAGACGTCATACTCAATATACAAAAGTTGGTTGAACGAGTCGATTTATATTACAATTAAATATTATAAGAACTTCGTGATTAAAATCTACCTTATTAACAATTTTCGAATTTTCAAACAGATTATACGGTTGTCGTAGCGAATAATAAACCGAGTATATTAATGAGTCGATTTACGATAACGAAAACCGCAGAAATTACCATCTGTGTTAACCGCGAGCGCGGTTTTCAGATGACGGCGCCGTCGCGCGTGATGTTCCTGTTCTCGTGCTGCATCCTGCTGCTGTTCCCGTTTCTGCGATTTGCCTGCGCGGACGAAGTCGAAGACATGCTGGCGGTGGTGGCGATGCTGACGACGGCACCGTACTTTCTATTCTTCTGCCGGGGCTTCAAAACGGTCGGCCCGTTCGTCGTGATGATTTACAGGATGATCATGGGCGACCTCCTCAGATTCGTCTCCATCTACCTCGTCTTCGTGATGGGATTCTCCCAAGGTAACGCGTGTGCGGGCGTTTCGAACACGAAGAAAGAGGATATCCTCATATTCTTCTTCTTTCGATTTGCGCGTGACGGCTGTTCCATTTATCCTTATGAATGAGGCTTGTCCCCGGGCACAATAAACAACGTTGTTGCCGATTATCGCAATTGATAATCGAAGCCGAAGAGACGTAACGGCACGTGTATAAGGGACGAGAGACATCATCAATTCCCGCCGCGGTGAGACGCCGCGGCGGCGATCAGCCGGTGCCTTATTCTATTGACTCCCAACAATTGTTAATTAGCCGCTGGTATAACGGCATCGGCATCGGACACGCGTATACGTCGTGTGTGATCTAATCGACGGTTTTACTGGACACTGCAACGCGACATTGACACACATCTCGCCTGGCCGACCGAAGGACAATCGTACGAAGGAACGAGGCGCGGGGAAGAGACCGCAGAAGGAGGCGCTACGCCGAGAAGGTCTCGAGATATACGTTAAATGGTGCGACACGCGCCATTGTGCAACCAGCAGCGTGCAAAGCCGCAACGCTACGTGCCAATGTGTCTTGCTTTTCACAAACGGCGGCGTCGCCGCTTGAATGGACCGACTATTCGCTCGCGAATACGACTTCCTCGATACTCCCTTGAGTCTTCCTCGATACGAAATCTTATACGACCGATAGTATATCATCCGCAGCGATCGGTCAATTAGGATGAGATCCCCTCGTCGGGATCTCTGTAGACATGTCCGAAATATTTCTACGATGACGTCTTCTCGCGTAACTTGGATACACAGAAAAAAAGAAGTGTCAAATCAAAACTTATATACTTAAATTAATCTTAGAACACAGCTTCCAGAGCATCTTGAAAACACACTATGGATCTGGAAAACTCATATAACTTTGATAGACTTGTAACTCTGGTTCAGATTAATATTTTTGAACTTGTTTTCCTTTAATTTATTTTGAAGCTCTGGGATTTAGGAATATCTCTGAATAGGTTTTAATACAGAAAAGTTTTATTTCGTCAAGTTATATGAAGTTAAAACTAAATATCGAAAATTAAAGATATTTTCAAATCAAGAATATTCTTTTTTTCTGTGTATATATAGAGGCGCACGTCGCACGCGATGTAAACAAACGAACGTCGTTATAAAATAGATGTCGATATTCTTTGCAGCGTATTACATCATATTCCTGTCGTTTGACAACCCGAACACTCCGGAGGGCATCGACGACTCGATCTCGAATCCGATGCCGTCGCCGATGGAGAGCGTTATGGCGATGTTCCTGATGAGCATGACGAATTTCGGCGATTACTTCGGCGCGTTCGAGAGAACCGAGCACGAATTCGAAGCCAAGGTACTTCGCTAATTGCGTTGAATGCGATCGCGTATATTAAAGAATGAAATTTTAACCAATTTGAATTAAATAACATTTTTTTATTTTTGACTACCATGTATATGTATCGAAATTGATCATTTTAACACAAAAAGAGTATTATTTTAACTCTATTGGTTTAGTTAAATTAATACTATATTTTAGTTAAATTAATGGCATATTGAAGCAGTGACGGCTTATAAGAATGGTTTAAAATTTAAAATAATTTAAATTAAATATAATTTGACACTTATACAAATTTAACAGTGCAGAGATGCGTTCGGTATTCATGGATAGAGATAAACGATATTGTCATTCACGTTAATTGACGTTCACGTGGCACGTTTCAACGACAATTAAATAATTCACACAAATTTCTCGGATAACGAATGACTCACTTGCATACGCGCCACGCAAAAGATGCAATCGCTACTAATTGCAGCTACTGTTCGTGCTGTACATGGCGATCGTGGCGATTCTGCTCGTAAACATGTTGATCGCTATGATGGGCAACACTTACCAGAAGATCGCTGAGACCAGGAACGAATGGCAACGGCAAGTACGTTTATTAACATAGTCCATACCGCGTGTACCGCCGATGGCCCACGCTGGCTTTTTTCCACATTCAGGCCGTTTGACATTTTGAATATAAACAGATAGATTACTACAAAAATATTTTATACACTGTTAAATATTAAAAGATGAAATTTAAAGCAATACATTATGCTAAATGGCATTTTGTTATTTTGAACTACCATGTGTGTCGACATTTTTAATTTAACACAAAATAGTACTATTTTAACTCCCATTAATTTAGTTAAATTAACGACATATTATTGAGTAGAAACAAAACCTATAGGAATGGTTAAAAATGACTCAAATTTAGTATAATTTGACACTACGAATATAACAGTGAATATCCATTGATTGCTACGTAATTAACATGATAGAACAGCTATCACGCTGTGATGATTGCGCGGCGCAGTGATTTCGAAGCTATACTATAAAATAAACTGTATATTATTAAATATAAATGCAATTTTCAGTACATATAATAATAAATGCAGCAACGTGGACCATCGGTACGGTACACGCGGTTTGAATGGAATTAAACTCCACGCACGCTGAGACTTTGTTTCGTGTGTATGTTAGTGGGCGCGCATAGTTCTGGTCGTGGAGAGAGGCGTGAGTCCCGCTGAAAGGCTAAGAAAGTTGACGGACTATTCTCAGCCCATGTCCGACGGTCGTAAGGCGTTGGTTCTTCGATTACACCAGACTGTGAGTATATACGGTGAACTCGCGGCCGGAACAAACGGATCTTCCATGGTCGACGGTATCGATTTTAGGAGGAGGACAAAGAGGAGATGAAGGAGATACTCGAGATGAAGAGAACCCACGACAGATTGCTAAAGAAAAGGCAAAGCAGAATGTCAAAGGAGAAGATTCTAGCTTAAGCCAGGGAAGCCATTGTTGTTGTTAGGAACTGTGAGAAGAAGTAATGAGCATCTTAATTTATTTATCTCGAACTACTTGTACGTAGTTCGTTTTATTTTTGAGAATTGAAAATTTATTTACTTAATTTTTAGCTATGTCAAAATCACAACATTTTGCACGACGAATTGTAAGGATCCGAAATAAAATGATTGCGATGTAGACTAGAGCAAGTGAAATTTTAATCAATAAATCGCGATGTTGGAGTTTCCATGACAACAAACCAATCATGTCAGACTGTCATAGAACCTCGAGCGATGAACGTGCTGAAAGGAAAAAAGACGTACATGTAGTACAATGAGCGCGTTAAAAACACCGATAGACTATAGAAACTTGGAAGAGGAACTTCACGCGGCTCTCGCAGCCGACGAATTGTATAAATTACAAAACGACGCTAAAATTCGGGCGGTGGAACAAGCAGTGCCGACGTATGAGCACTTCAGACAGATGGTGATTGCAATATCTTGGTTATTTGTCGTCGTCTAAACGAGAAATCTTGATCTATATGTGACGTGCGTAGCTTCTGCGTTCAGTTTATATTCAATATCACCGAAGAATTTATATACATATATAATTAAATAATTACAATATAAAATAAATAAGATAAAAATAATAAATTATACTTTTTTGACATAAAAGTTCTCCAGTAAATTTTGAATTAATTAATTATAACGACAGGTGAATGGCGCTCACTTGAAACCTCTGGATCGCGACGACATGAAACCTAAGATCGGTGCGCAGTGGAATCCGCTGATTAATCCTACTAAGCCTTGTGACTTGACTGCATCGGCAGCCTCAAGAAAATTGACGCGCGATAAACGGGACAATGGAAGTTCCCCGAAAAAATCGCGGGAGACGTGCGAGAACTTTTTACAATTTTGGAGAACAATTGCGGACCACTCCGAAAAGTTTACTTATGTATGGAATCTAAGGTGAGAGAATCGCAGAACGCGCAAGAATATCGCCATCACGTGTATCAGCGACGTTTTTTGTATGACAGGAACGACCTGCGGCATCACGTCTTTCGAGTGGAAATCCCAGCGTCGTTCCTCGGCGACTTCGCGAATACGTGTCTGCAACATTCGTCGAAGGTGGACGACGTAACGTCAATTATAGAAATTCTCGGCATACTGAGCGCGTGCAATCGGTTCGATCTGATGGTATGCTTCATGACGAGAGACGAGAAATCTACGTGCGAGCAGCTTTTCCAACAGTTGCAACTTAAAGGAGGATCGCCAGGCGAATCCTTGAAACATACAGTCAAATCGTTAGCGGTGAAATATCGGGTTAAGCTTGATTAATGAAGCACAGTATATTCGTTTTGCATATAACAATACGAACGGTATAAATAAACGGCAGAGATAAAACAAAATAAATGATTGAAACTTATTATTGTTCAATTGTTGTTATTATTATTGCAAATAATTCATCTGGAATTAACTGAAGATTAGTCGAAAAATTTGTTGTTAAAATTAAAAATAAAATGCATTCGTTTTACAAATAATCAGGGTCCGCCACCAAAATCCGGACAAATTTAAATTTGAATTTCCTACTTTATTTGACTTCGGCGGTAGGTCGTTGTTGACGTTCGGGCAAGTCAGATGTTTGTAGTAAGCGTGCGTAATCTCAAAATGTCCGAACAGATAAGATCGAGCGCGGGGTATAACCGAAGAGCGGCGATAATCGAAGGCCTCCGCACTGGGCGTCCGCAGACCGAAATTATTCGGTTCTTCGGGTACCCGAGATCGACGGTTTATGATGTTGCGGCTAAATGTTTGGCTTCGGAGACGTCCGAAAAAGCTTTTGCCAACCCGACGAGAAAGAGCCATTCGAAAGAAAAGTCGGTAAGGACTTCAGCAATTATTGAAAGGGCAATACGTGGGCTCATCGTGTCTTACAGACAATATTATCAGTCCAGATAAACAGGCGAGATAAAACAAAATAAATAATTATAAACTACTTTACTTTATTATTTAAATTAATTTATGTTGCTAAAATGTTGCTAAAATAAAAAGCGATTCGTCTCACAAAGAACATTATCAGCCCAGCTAAACGGGAGAGGTAAAGCAATTAAAATAAATGATTAAAGACCACTGTCAATTTATTATTAATATTACAAACAATTTGGAACCAATTAAAACGTAGTCTAAGAATATGTTGCTAAAATCAAGAGAGAGTATAAATTAAAATAATTAAATAATCCTCCGCAATCACTCGATTCGATAAGTCACGCGATTCGTTCGAATCAAATGCGGAGAAGAAAGGTCGAACTGGTCGAAGTCGATTCGGAGCCAGAGCAGACGACGCGACCACGTGACCAGCCGAGCAAGATGGCGGCGCACGGCGCCGCGTACGCGAAGAACACCGTGACCGTCGCGTAAATGCGACAACGACCGAGCACGCGTTGGCCTATTCCTATCATTTACGTGCGCAAGTGTACGTCGAACGCCTAGGAAATGTCTGACACCCATGAATTTGCCGCGTTTCCCATACGTGCGTCTCACTAGACCGCCATGGGTGTCATGACGCACACGCGACGCGACCCGGCCCGCGCCGTCTGTCAGTTCTGTCACTCGTGCGTGCGCGCGCGCGCGTGTGCACGGACGTAAACAAGCGACTGGTTTCGTCACACGCCATCCCACGTCGTTGCCGCCGCCGCTGCGGACCGTTGCGGAGCCGTCGCCGTCGCGTCGTCAGCTCCCAGCTGCCGGAACAGAACGCAGAAACGCTCTCGCGACGGTGGACGCCGACGCCGGGCGCCGGACCACGCCGCGGAGTCCGGGACGCTCCAACGACACTGCCGAGAGGATCGCGTGATAAGATATGCGCGCGAGACGACGGCGATTAGCCCGCTCGGCCCGCTGCGCGTCATCAGTCGATCACCGTCGCGTCACTCATCGCGTCACGCGTCTCTCGCCGTCGCCGCGAGGGTGAGAGCCGACGGACGGGGGCCCCGGACGGTCGCGGCGCGACGCCGTAAGGTGGAAAGAGAGAGAGAGAGAGAGAAAAGTATAAACAAAAACGGGGAACGAGAGAGCGCGCCGTCCGCGCCGCCACGACGCCTCCGCCATGAGGCTGGAGGAGATGCCGTTGCGGCTGAGCTCCGACGAGCGGGACTTTGAAATGGACGACGACGAGACCGATTACCTGCTGCAGCCGTCCGAGGACAGCATCAGGCAGCTGACGTCGAGGCGACGGCGCATCGCCGATTGCTCCAAGTGCCTGAAGAGCTGCCTCTGCGGGTGAGTCTACCGGGTGTTTCGGAACGACGCGCGTCACCGCTCGCGCTCACGTCGTTTCTTTTTTATTTTCTTTTTTCTTTTACCCCCCTCGCCGTCCAACTCGCGATCGCGATAGACGATAGACTCTCGTCGTTTCCGTCCTTATCGCCTTTTCTTATCACCTAGATTGCGAGAACGATCCTGAAAATTGTCTATATAAATTCCTATCTTCTGACAGCTTTAATTTAAAGACTTTTTTTTTAATTCACAAGGCTCTATTTAATAAATCTTGTGCACTGAGTATATCACGTTATAAAATCGTGCTTATTTCTTGTTTAGCCATTTTTAATAGTTTCTATTAAAATTCATTTTATATTAGAATTTATTTTGAAAACTGGTATTTATGGTGATTTTGTAATTTGTTTACATAACTTTTAGGGGCGGTTGTTCCAACCTATTGACAAACTAATTAATAGTTAAATCATACGTCTATCCTTCTTTAATCTGAAAGAAAAACGAAGACACATGATTTAACTATTAGTTAGTTTACCAACAGGTTGGAACAACCGGCCCTTAATGATGAGATATGCGCGTTGGAGTTTATGGATGCGAATGATCGAGCGGAATACTTACGTTTAATTCGGAATAAATTCTTTCCGTGCACATTAGCTTTTTACTGTTGAATTTTCGTATAGTGTCAAATTGTACTTAATTTGAGTCATTTTTAATAAGACCTACATTGCTCCTGCTTAATATGTCGTTAATTTAACTAAACAATGTTGACTAAACCAATGGAGTTAAAATAATACTGTTATTTTGTGTTAAAATAATGAATTTTTGATGGTAGTTAAAAATAACAAATTGTTAGTTAACTCAAGGTATTGGTTCAAATTTCATTCTTTAATATTTAACAGTATTGATGTTTAAAATTGAATATTTCGTTAATTAAGGTAAAACGTGCAAAAGAGGACTCGTTACTGAAATATAATCGTAAAGTTTAGACCGGAGTAAATTTTCTTTGTTCATATTTAATTGACTTTTAACGTTTAAAATCAAACATTTTATCAATTAACGTAAAACACGCCGCAAGATCCGTCACTAAAATATATTCGCGAAGTTTAGAACGGAGTAAATTTTCTTCGTTTATATCTGATTAGCTTTTAACGTTTAAAATTAAGGAGCATTTAAAATTAACGTTTAAAATTAACGTTTAAGGAGCATTTAAAATTAACGTTTAAAATTAAGGAGCATTTTGTCAATTAAGGTACAACGCGCAGATTGATCTGACTCGTTACTGAAATATATTCGCGAAATTTAGAACGCTCTGTATATAGCCAAATATAGCTCAATGTTTACAACGGACTCAAGTCACTCAAGTTGTCTCATTATAACTGTTAGTACGCGAACGAACGGCGATCGTGTTGACTTGCCTAACACTCGAAGGCTTCCAATGAGAAATCAATATAATCATCATCGATTCACAGATCGATCAACAGTATCAACGCTTTCCGTGTGCTTTCGTTACGGAACGGAATATCAAAAGTTAATCGAACTTCGTTAAGAGAAGAGCTATATCTTTTTTGTTTTCGGTGCTATATTTGTTCGCCGGGAATAACTGTCCTAACAAGTTCCAGTCTAAATTATCGGCAGGGTGTTAAAATAACGCCGTATAAATAAGACGACGTATGTGTATACGTATGTAGCGTTACGTATACGAGGAGCGTCTTAAGACGGGATCGATAGGGAAAAAAATAACTTTTTTCGACGCGATATATATACAGTGAGAAAATCAAGTGCGTGGGTGCAGCTACGGAGAAATCGTAAAAGCGTACGAAACAAAATATAACGACAACGAGTAAGACGTGGTGTACCAAAAATTATGCGGGGAACCAGCAAAAGGACCAGACGGTAATAGTCATATTTCAAGTCAACAAATCAATATTCCGCAGGATGATGCAGTAGAAATTCGTCACGAATCGATCGGTTAATTAATATTATTTATTAATCAATTGGACAGATTTTGGACAGATTATCATCGAGACATTTCAGATGCTACTTAAATAGAATGCTTATATATATATAAGCATCAAAATTACGTTAATTTAGAAAGACCCATGGTCGAAACGTCTTGACGATTGATTTGACCAAAAAACCAAAATGGTCGTATTGTCGTGACGATTACAATGATAGCCAGTTAGGTCGATTAATAAGTCTTCACTGTTAATTAGGTTGATTATTTACTGGCGAGGTAAATCGGTTTAATATTATTCGATTTAAGAGAAACGTGGACGCAGCTCATTGAGCCTCTACTTTTATCTCTTCGCGATAAATGCATCTTCTCTCTCGCCGTTTTTTATTTTCTGCAAGTTCTTTTCAAACGCGCGCACGTAGAAAACGTGAAAATAAGACGCAAAGCAAGAAGGAAAGAACACGTTGTTAATCCGTGATAAATGACGCATTAACACGATGTATAAACCGCGCGAGCTACACGAGCGACGCGCTCTCATCCGTTTCTCTCATCGTTTATCGATTGCAGACCTCATCATTTATTTCTAACGTCTCCGATAAATCTAATCGCGTCTCTGTCGCCCGACTGAGAAAAGAGAAAGAGGATTAACGCGAAGGGGATTAACTGCCTCCATCTGACTCGAGAATACGAAGCTCACACGTACTTCGTAAGACGATTAGCAAGGTCAAAGGTGTGCCGTGTGTGCCTCGGTGTTTCACCGGTAAATCGGCGGATCTCATCTCGCGCGATATGCGGTCGATCGAAATAAGCCACGCGTTAAGCCGTGATCAGACTACGGATTGGGATTGAGATTGGATTGAAATTTGACCAATTAGAGCAAAGTTCACTAAACTTGAAGTTTTCTTTATTTTGATTCATTAAATTTCAATCCAATCTCAATCCCAATCCGTAGTCTGATCACGGCTTTACGCGCGCCCGAAATAGCGTCCGATCCTGCAGTGTTCAACCCTGTTCGAAGCCCGCCGTATTACTTGGTCCGAGATATTCCGCAAACACGGAAACACAGCATTCATTCTCGGCTCTCGATAAAATAACAATCGCGTGGCCGTGTGTGTAAACAATTCTCGTTCACCGAGAGAAATCATTTGTGACCTAATCGACCGTGGAATTCGGTAATTGTTCTTAATATTAACATTGTTTGTTTTTGCTGGCATTTATGTCCCCAGCAAACACCGTTAGCATACTGCTAGTAGTCATAAGTCATAATATAATGAAAAATGTAACACGTAATATAACGTGCAGTGCAGGTGTTGGTTTTAATTTCCCACTCATACGAAGTTGCACCTGTGTAACAGACCGTAATTTACATATTGTAATAGAATGTAATAGAACACACACTTATACATATATTATACATTAATAAAAGAGGGTTATATAACATTATTTATTACATTAATTAGGTATAACATCCGTCATATTACGTGTTACTCCTGTATTCGTAGCAATTTTATATTCTGTGTTTGTTGGAGTAGGTACATTGTTCTCATTGCGTACAGCATCAAATTGAATGATAAGTATTATCGTTCCTTAACGTTGCTAAACGTATCAGAAGTTATTTTTTTATAGAGATCTAATTGAGGCAATAATTATC